ACTATTTGAAGCAAATTGTGTCCCCGTTGTGGTATTTCAGTGACATTGCTAAAGCGTCCTAAAACAAAACTCACTCACTTTGTATCGTGATGCGCTACGCTTGTAAATACGAGGCTACCCCATCCCCGTACTCACACAACCCCTACTCCCAACCACGCCATTATACTAGTAGCGGCTTTGGGGGTAGGGTAGTTAGTGGGTCAACTTGTATGACAGCAGTCGGCTTTCGTATCCTTATTTGTATAATCCATTCTTGGCTAAACCGTCAGGATAAAGTTGCAAATTCATCGAAAGCACTTTTCCTTCCCTGATTCAGGGCGGTGGAGTAGCCAGGTGGTGAAAGTGTTCGCCCGTCACGACGAAAGCACGGGTTCTATTCCCCACATGGGTTATATGTGTAGAGGCCATTTCCGGTGTCCCCCGACGTGATATTGCTGGAATATTGCTAAACGCGGCGTAAAACCATACTCACTCAATACCTGATTCATAGCCAGTTCAGACCCGTGAAGGTCCGGGGTAGAATAGGTCTTCAGCAACCCATGCTTGCCGTAAAAGGCGACTATGCTTGTCCTAAAAGGCGACTGACGGGGTGGTCATGCTCGCTGACTTTGTTGATACATGTCATCGATCCCAATTGCGTTGATCGATGCTCATGATGTCAATCACTGGATTGTCTGGTCCAGACTCGATTATTTACAGACCGCCGTCATATAGCTGGAATATTGCTGAGTGCGGCGTTAAACAACAAACAAACAAACAAACAAATCATAGCCAGTTCAGGTGTTGATTGTCATACGTGTATAACTACCCTCGCTGAACTTCGGCATCTCTTTGAAATCCAGGACAAGTGTACCCGTCGTACACCCGGAATGTCTTTATGACGGTGATTGCCCTTACATATTTCGTATTGAAAGTATATGCTTAGCTCTTGCTGTACATATAGTCGTAGGATGCCGGTCGGTGTTTAAACAGACTGCACGTTGTATGGGTATATTGTGAAGGACGAGAAGATGGAGGGGGGGGGCAGAGGGTAGAAAAAGGCAGCGGCTGTGTCGTCTGCTGTATGTGGGTGCACGCTAGACTGACACCCGCACTGGTGGGCGGTAAGAGTACTAACCTGTTAGTAGATACAGCAGCACCTCATTGTGTCCAACTCGGTTTATCGAATTCTCGAGCTCGAACTCAGATTGAAAAATATTCAGGCTAAAAAATAAATAAATCTGGTTCTGTTGCCGTAATCTAATCTTGATACAAAAATTCATTTTAAAAGATGTACATAGAAACATTAAAAGCATATGGTCAAAAAATGCATTTTGGGTCACTTACTGACTCGCATTTAGATTTTTATTTGAAGTTCTAAAAATCTGCCTTTTCACATTTTTTAGCCACATTTGTGCATTTGACCATGTCAGAAGTCCACCAAGGAGGAGTAAAGTTAAGCGGTTGGCCAATTTATCATGTGTGGTCATGTTTATAAAGTTTTCAGCAACTTTACAATTTGAACATTTCCAGTAGGTAAAGTGGGCCCTTACTCGCCCCTCCTTTAAATCTTGAAATGACAAGCACGTCGTGTTTTTTTTAGAATTTGACAGCGAGATACCAGTGCAAGTGTATATTCCGGAATCTGTCCCCCTCACACAATACACACTTACAGAAGGAAATGACTAGACACAATGACACAATGAGAGGAAACGGATACCTCACCCAACATGTTGTGGAAATGTCAGACAAACACATCACAGGTGCACCTGAAACTTGCGTGGGATAATCCAGTAAAAGTTGGCGCATCAAGTGTGCATAGTGTCACTTTAGATCACGACTTGAACACACACAGATTATGAATACATGACACTTTTTAATGGATAACAACTTCTTTGTTCTTTGTAACGACGTTTCAGAGCTACTTCTTGTCCCTTCATGAGATGCATGCATGTTCTTCCTCGTTATCCAGGAGTTACCCATAACAAGTGTCAGGTAACGTTCTTCCAGCATCTAAATGTCAATCAAAGACTTCACACACAGGTTACATGCACAGGCCACCAACACAGGTTACATGCACAGGTAATACATACAGGTTACATGCACAGGGAATACATACAGGTTACATGCACAGGTAATACACACAGGTTACATGCACAGGTAATACACACAGGTTACATACACAGGCCATCAACACAGGTTACATGCACAGAAAATCAACACAGATTACATGCACATGTAATCAATACAGGTTACATGCACAGGTAATACAAACAGTGTACATGAAAAGGTAATACATACATGTTACATGCACAGGTAATCAATACAGGTTACATGCACAGGTAATACAAACAGGTTACATGAAAAGGTAATACATACATGTTACATGCACAGGTAATACAGACAGGTTACATGCACAGGTAATACATACAGGTTACATGCACAGGTAATACATACAGGTTTCAAGAACAGGTAATACATACAGGTTACATGCACAGGTAGTACATACAGGTTACATGCACAGGTAATACATACAGGTTACATGCACAGGTAATACATACAGGTTACATGCACAGGTAATACATACAGGCTACATGCACAGGTAATCAAAACAGATTACATGCACAGGTAATACATACAGGTTACATGCACAGGTAATACATACAGGCTACATGCACAGGTAATACATACAAGTTACATACACAGGTAATACATACAGGTTACATGCACAGGTAATACATACAGGTTACATGCACAGGTAATACATACAGGTTACATGCACAGGTAATACATACAAGTTACATACACAGGTAATACATACAGGTTACATGCACAGGTAATACATACAGGTTACATGCACAGGTAATACAAACAGGTTAGATGCACAGGTAATACAGACAGGTTACATGCACAGGTATTACATACAGGTTACATGCACAGGTAATACATACAGGTTACATGCACAGGTAATACATACAGGCTACATGCACAGGTAATACATACAGGTTACATGCACAGGTAGTACATACAGGTTACATACACAGGTAATACATACAGGTTACATGCACAGGTAATACATACAGGTTACATGCACAGGTAATACATACAGGCTACATGCACAGGTAATACATACAGGTTACAAGAACAGGTAATACATACAGGTTACATGCACAGGTAGTACATACAGGCTACATGCACAGGTAATAGATACAGGCTACATGCACAGGTAATACATACAGGTTACATGCACAGGTAATACATACAGGCTACATGCACAGGTAATACATACAGGTTACAAGAACAGGTAATACATACAGGTTACATGCACAGGTAGTACATACAGGTTACATGCACAGGTAATACATACAGGCTACATGCACAGGTAATCAATACAGGTTACATGCACAGGTAATACATACAGGCTACATGCACAGGTAATCAAAACAGATTACATGCACAGGTAATACATACAGATTACATGCACAGGTAATCAATACAGGCTACATGCACAGGTAATACATACAGGTTACATGCACAGGTAATACATACAGGTTACATGCACAGGTAATACATACAGGTTACATGCACAGGTAATACATACAGGTTACATGCACAGGTAATACAAACAGGTTAGATGCACAGGTAATACAGACAGGTTACATGCACAGGTATTACATACAGGTTACATGCACAGGTAATACATACAGGTTACATGCACAGGTAATACATACAGGCTACATGCACAGGTAATACATACAGGTTACATGCACAGGTAGTACATACTGGTTACATACACAGGTAATACATACAGGTTACATGCACAGGTAATACATACAGGCTACATGCACAGGTAATACATACAGGTTACATGCACAGGTAATACATACAGGCTACATGCACAGGTAATCAATACAGGTTACATGCACAGGTAATCAATACAGGTTACATGCACAGGTAATACATACAGGTTACATACACAGGTAATACATACAGGTTACTTGCACAGGTAATACATACAGGTTACATGCACAGGTAATCAACACAGGTTAGATGCACAGGTAACAAACACAGGTTACATACCCAGGTAAAGCACACAGTATACATTCTCAGGTAACAAACACATGTGACATGCACAGATAACACACACAGGTTACATGCTCGGGCAACAAACACATGCTACATGCACAGGTAACAAGCAGAGGCTACATTCACAGGTAACATACAGAGGCTACATGCACAGTTAACACACATAGGTTACATGCACAGTTAACACACAGAGGCTACACGCACAGTTAACAAACGCGGGTTATAGGTAGCGCGTGCAGGAAGAATTAATAACATAGGTAAAGATGGATCGACAACTTCATCGGGCAGGATAGTGAGTGAGTGAGTGAGTGAGTGAGTGAGTGAGTGAGTGAGTGAGTGAGCGAGTGAGTATGGTTTTACGCCGCTTTTAGCAATATTCCAGCAATATCACGGCGGGGGACACCAGAAATTGGCTTCACACATTGTACCCATGTCGGGAATCGAACCCGGGTCTTCGGCGTGACGAACTAACGCTTTAACCACTAGGCTACCCGACCGCACCCCGGGCAGGATAGATGAATGAAACTAACAGTAAAGACTCACATGCAAAGGTAAGTATCACAGAGGTTAAAGGGGTCAGAGAGGTTAAAGGGGTTGAAGGGTTTCCTCGTCATGTGACCCGTTTCGATGCAATGGCTACATGGTGTTAAGTACAATGTTATTGTTTTCAGACGTGATAGAGCTCACTCACTCACTCACTCACTCACTCACTCTAAACAACAAGCAGGTTAGATCATGTTTAAGTCGGTGCAAACTTGACAGTTCGACTCAGACGCTTCAGTGTACACACTACAGACTACACCACAATAGCGGGTTTGACGAAACATCAGGACTTTGTTTACTGAATCAAAATAGTTAGGCGACTGGTAGTGCAGGTTTTGCTATGACGGGTTGTGTGCTCTTATGTATAACTCTTAGTCAATTTCTTCCTCATCCATAAACCTCACTGCCATTAATCAAAGTTAAAAATATAGTTTGTGGATTTCCAGTTCATTATTTTGTCACGAGTGCACGTCCTTAAACAGAAAAAAACTCCTCGTCTGAACAGGTTCTCCGAGCAGTCTGGCCTTGTATTTCGCATAGACACTGAACAATAACGTGTCGGCGAGTGAAAGAGAGAGCGTATTGAAAATGGCCGCTTCTACAAGCAGCGAGCTGTGACGAGGTGAACGTTTCTCTGCCGTGTTCACGGAAGAGCTCTTCGCGCTGTCAGACGTAGTTGGACACTGGGGAAACACGCGTGGAGGTTACACTGCTGTATCTTCTGTGACTGTTCCCGACATCGGCACCAGTGCCACCCTAGAACTTGATCTACCCGTGCCTTGATCAGCTGCCATATTCTTGTTGTACAGGTAAGGAGAAGTGAAGTCTTGCCATGTGTTGTGTTCAGTGTCCGTGACAGGGGGATTGTGGTGGCGGCGTACAGTAGTTATGGCTGTGTTATGAACGTGGTCGGTCTCAGCAAAACCGGGGCTTGATTGAGATTTCTTATGACTTATATGTTTCCGCGGGTGTGATTCTGTGAAGGACGTGACTCTGTGTTATACTGAACCCTCTTTTACTATCATTTTAGTGAAAGGGACATGACATCAGCTATTTTTTTAAATAATAATAATAATAATAATAATAATAATAATAATAATAATAATAATAGTAATAATAATAATAATAATAATAACAACAACGATAATGATAATGATAATGATAATAATAATAATAATAATAATGTTAAGTTGTCCGACTCCCCATTGTTCTCGGTGCCTTAGGTTTGGTAACTCCCAATCTGTTGACTGACATCGGGAGAGTACCCGGGTTTGCTACCAGGAATACAGCCCTTCTGACAATCTGGGTAATGCAGAAGGCTGTAGCGTTGGGGAGGCTTCACATTATCCGAAAAGTTCTGGGTGGGTTTGACTAGGCAGCGCTTCCTGGGAGAAGTCCCATTCGCTGTCTGGGCTGCCTGTAGAGGGGGCAAGGGTCCTGAGCTGATGATGAACCTAACCAGCCTGACTGTGCCAGGATCACCCATACCCTCTACTACTACTACTACAACTACTACTACTACTACTACTACTACTACTACTACTATTACGACTACTACTACGACTACTACTACTACTACTACTACTACTACTACTACTACTACTACTACTACTTCTACTACTACTACTTCTGCTACTACTTCTACTACTACTTCTACTACTACTACTACTACTACTATTACGACTACTACTACTACTTCTACTACTACTACTGCTACTAATTCTACTACTTCTACTACTGACTACTACTACTACTACTATTACGACTACTACTACGACTACTACTTCTACTACTACTACTGCTACTAATTCTACTACTTCTACTACTACTACTACTACTACTACTACTACTACTACTACTACTACTACCACTAATTGCAATATACAATATGCAATGTCACGCACTATGCCGGTAGCACTTTTAACTTTCGAAGGTTGAAGGTTACAAATAAGGTCACATATGAGGTAAGGGAATCGACAAGCATCACATACCATTCTTTTTAAGAAATACGTAACATGCCTGTGTCACATAAGCCTTACACGACACACGTATACATTTGCATACGTAAGGGATTGATGCACATACAAAGACGTATATCCGGAATACAATACTGTAATATCCGTCAGCCCATGTGTCGTGCAATATTGAAGCCATAAATCATTCTGTTATGTCTGCTTTAAATAAAATTGATTAGAAATCGACCAGCTGGTGTAGTGATTCCAAGGACGAAGTCTTATTGACTGTTTTCATTATGTTGTCAGTCAATATGACATTTGACATTTGACCCCGGTGACCAGAGGGTGTCGGGAATAGGTCACACAGAGAGAGAGAGAGAGAGAGAGAGAGAGAGAGAGAGAGAGAGAGAGAGAGAGAGAGAGAGAGGGGCGGAGGATGACACATTGCTGATTAAGTTACACATTACAGATTTGAGATTTGAGAGAGACACTGCAGTTGAAGTTGCGAATCACACATTCGGGAGTGACCGTGTTATAGTTACCTGACTATCCCTTATTTACAGTATGCACGACTGACCATTGTAATTCTGTATTTATCTTTCGTTTTTTATATGAAACAAAAGATCAGGGTTCTTGGTATTAAAAGTGTTTTGATTTAAAAACATGTGATAATAAAATGCATGTGACCCCGATAGAACAGTTCATAGTTCCCAGAGGGTTTAGCAACGAGAAGGATGTTTCCGTGTCATCTCAGAGGGAATGTTTATACACTGACAACTGTAAGGTTGACCCTGTAATAGCAGTGTTTATGCTTCATGTGGACTGAACCGTTACCTATGTGTTCAATGAAGCGAAACAGTCACCCAGGTCGTGAGATTCCCATAGGCTGCCTTGTGTGAACAAATGTATCATATTATAGCAATAGATGTGTCATAAGATCAATACTAAATCTGTTTCTAATCTGTCAGTATATCTTCCGAATGCTCAACGTATACACAACCATTGCTGGTTATGTATGTTCAAGTCGACGACCCTCATGTCGACATTGTGTGTTCAACGTCCCTTCAACACAGGGTGAACAGGCAATAGATTCTTTGTGCCTGGGTTATATGAAACACATTGAAATATACTTCACATTTTGCTCGTATATTGGCATATATTTCACATTGGCTCATATACTTCACACTGAGACATATACAAGTGTGCAGCTCACAGTTGCATACGCTTGTCACAAGTATTTTCACAGAGGCATATATTTGACGTATGTTTATTTCACATAATGGCATATATTTCATGTATGCATATTTCAAATAGTGGCAGATATTTAACAAATGTATATTTCACATAGTGGCATATATTTCATGTATGCATATTTCAAATAGTGGCAGATATTTAACACATGCATATTTCACATACTGGCATATATTTCATGTATGCACATTTTCAAATAGTAGCATATGTTAAACACATGTATATTTCACATACTGGCATATATTTCATGTATGTACATTTCACATAGTTGCATATATTAAACGTATGTATATTTCACATAGTGGCATATATTTCACGTATGCATATTTCACATAGTGGCATATATTTCACGTATGCATATTTCAAATAGTGGCAGATATTTAACACATGCATATTTCACATAGTGGCATATATTTCATGTATGCATATTTCACATAGTGGCATATATTTAACGTATGTTTATTTCACATAGTGGCATATATTTCACGGCAATGGTAACCTCTACCCCATATTATTTATTCAATAAGTACCTATCAATGTAACGGCAGTGGACATGCTAGTTACATTCTCCAATAAACTGAGAGATATGCACACGTGTTGCCTTTAGCATGTAGTATTCTATTCAGGCCTTGCCATTCCTTTGTTTGAAAAACCAAGTCTTTGAATGGGTTGTAATTACTTACACCCTGAAGTATTTGACAGAAAAGACAAATATGTATTTAATATACGAGTAGTGTGATTTCACGTGTTTCTAGCTCCTTGTAAACTTACGTTGAAAGGGGAAGATGTTACTTTAGGAAGTCGTCCTTTATTGGCGACAGTGCACAGTTTGAGTGTGTAACAATATAAGTGGTATTTTGCCCTTAACGCTGAATGTAATCTGGTTTGGCGTTTAACCAAGACTGGCTGTTCTCCCCCATCGACGTTTCATATTTGCATAGACGTTCTAGTCAAGTTATTGTTTTTATCCCTTCTTTATCCAACGAAAATATAATTTTTATATTTATTCCCTTTTCTGTCCTTTGATGTTGAAAGAAATGTTTGATATTTGTTGCAATGTACTGGAGAAGGGGGATCAACTATGACTGTAAACTAAAACTGACCAATGAGAGTAACAGCGATAAATAGCGACAAAATTTTCCTCAATTATAAAAGAATATATGCTGAAAGCAGATTCCATTGTATGATTCCGACTATGTCATGAGCATGTGTTTATGAAGCAGTGTCAAATAGTGATACCAGGTGTTCGCGAAAAGGTGAGTGTATCCTACCCCACCGTTGCACAAACACATGCAAAGGCAAATCAAATGTTAACCTGAAAAACAAGCACGGTAACATATGGTACAAGTCAAAATAGGGAATTATATCAAGCACCATTTGGCTTCTGATGCATTACATTAGGATATGTTATTTGGTTTGGTTGACTGCCTGTGTTCGATATCCTGGTGGGTTGATGTGTTTTTTTATCTGGACATATGTGAATGATGACCTTTAAACTGTCAGCTGGACCCAAGATGGACATAGTTATGGCTGTCAAAATGATAAACACATGTCCAAAGATGACCGTTGTTTTCGTCATGACCCCAGACCTGCTGTGACCCTGATCCAGCCATTTACACCGCCGCCCTACCAGTGGGGACGAGCAATACAGGACTGTGTTCTGATGTAGATGTAAGCTGTAGTGGTGGATCATGCTTTTGTAAACAACGTCACGAGGCCAACAACGACTACAACAGCCGCCCACATAATTACGTTAATACAGGTGTACAAACCTTTACATATTTACGTTAAATTCAAACCTTGACATGTTTAGGTTAATTACATACCTTTACATATTAACGTTATTACACACCTTTACATATTTAGGTTTATTATACACCTTTACATATTTACGTTATTACATACCTTTACATATTTAGGTTCATTACACACCTTTACATGTCTACGTTATTGCACACCTTTACATATTTAGGTTTATTATGCACCTTCACATATTTACGTTATTGCACACCTTTTCATGTCTACGTTATTACACACCTTTTCATATTGAGGTTTATTATACACCTTTACATATTTAGGTTTATTATACACCTTTACATATTAACGTTATTACATACCTTTACATATTTACGTTATTACATACCTTTACATATTTAGGTTTATTATGCACCTTTACATATTTACGTTATTGCACACCTTCACATATTTACGTTATTACATACCTTTACATATTTAGGTTTATTACACGCCTTTTCATGTCTACGTTTTGCACACCTTTACATATTTAGGTTTATTATGCACCTTCACATATTTACGTTATTACATACCTTTACATATTTAGGTTTATTATGCACCTTCACATATTTACGTTATTGCACACCTTTACATATTTAGGTTTATGATGTACCTTCACTTATTTACGTTATTGCACACCTTTTCATGTCTACGTTATTACACACCTTTTCATATAGAGGTTTATTATACACCTTTACATATTTAGGTTTATTATACACCTTTACATATTAACGTTATTACATACCTTTATATATTTAGGTTTATTATACACCTTTACATATCTACGTTATTACACACCTTTACATATT